TTATATAATGCCCTTCCGTGCTGTACACTGTTTGTCCCTTAGGGTCCTTTTGTTTGCTTGGAGGGGGACTTAGGCTCTGCCTAACCTCAATACAGAGCACAGGTTGGGGTAAAAGTTAACACCTTCATTAAAAGTCAGATTGATGATCTTACAGCCAAGCCAATTCAAATACATTATCTCAGGCTTGCACTTAAAGATCAGGAAAAGCCCTATGAGCCTGAAAGGCCACATGATGACATGCTTCAGTCGTCCCTTGAGAGCTGAACCGGATAGCCAAAGATGGGTAAGAGGAGATCTCACTGATAGCAACCTAAGGCAGGCTGGGAGCCAAAGCAGCTGTTTTTAGCCCATGACGGGTAAGCATCAGAAGAGGATCTCCCAACCTAAGACAGGCACGGTTCCCTAAGGGATTGTTTTGGCTCATTTTCCTTCTTTATTAAAATATAAAACAAAGGGGCATCTGTGGAGAGCCGTAGGCCCCCACCACAGGAAATAGCAAGACCTGATTCCTGGCAAAGCTGTTTTCCAGACATCCAGGCTGACCTGGTTTGAGATTAACCAGATGACTATACTTGAAAGCCTCACACAAACATGTTGTTCTAACTCGGGCACTTACTGCTTGAGAGACTCCCTCATTTCTCATGGAACTGCCTAAGAAACTTTTTGTATTACTTTGTAATCATGCAGGTGTAACCTTATAATTGATTTGTGGCCTTACTATAGAATTGTGATGTTACTATGGTGTTCTGTCAATAGAATTGCTCTGCCTCAATAAATTTATCCCTGCCAACTTCCCCCTTCCCCTCTCTATAAAAACTGTTCCTTTTCTATCAATAAGTGAGACTTGATCAGAAAGCCTGTCTTGTCTCCATTCTTCATGTCACTTGTCCCTTTCAGTCCCTTCTCCTCTCTCCAGGTACCCACGTTGACTGTCCTGTGGGTAGGGACAGTAATGGAGCTGTAGGGAAATCATTCAGCCATTCAGAACCTTTTTTTCCTAACCTGGAAAGCAGGAGAAATGGTAACTTATCCCAACACTTGGCATCTCCTTGAGGCTGGGCACAATTTAATGCATGTAAACATGCCCTTGTCTGGAAATGGGCTGTGACAGGGTAAGTGCTGACTATGGTGAGATGGCAGCATGACTGCCCACAGTGCAGACTTCCTCTAGAATGAGAAGGATACACTAGTATGTTTCAAAAATATTTTATTTATTGTGTTTATCTTATGTGTATGAGTGTATTGCCTGCATGTATGTAAGGGCACCTGTGTCATGCAATGCCTGAGGAGGTCAGGAGAGGGCATCCAATCAATCCCTTGGAACTGGTGTTACAGCCAGTAGTTAGCCACCATGTGGGTTTTGGAAACCAAACCCAGGTCCCCTGGAAGAGCAGTCCATGCTCTCAACTGCTGAACCATCTCTCCAGTCCCTAACTAGTATGTTTTAGAAGGAATTTCAGAGTCAGTCTTTTGGCTATAATGACTTCTTCAAGGGTCACCACATTTATCCACATCATCTCATTCAATGAACATTTTTTTCAAGAGACTTCTATCTGCCAAGCATTATACTATATATTAAGAATGCAAACTCCTGTAAGACAGAGAATTCTTTTTAGGGATCTTATCCAACAGTAGAGAAAGAGACATATAAACACGATGCCATTTATTTCTTGCATGTCATTTAAGTATCAAAGATGTAGTTCAGCCCTTTGATGGTCCTGGCATGGGACCTTAAATGGCTTCTCTCACACTCAGGGTCCAATGATCTGCAAGCAACCTCATAAATGGCACAGGTCTACATGTGTGGGAGAACCACAGCAATACACTATGCAAAACCATCCATGCAGGCTGTGAGGTACTGTCTGTACTCAGATCAACTGACTGTGTGCTATCTAGGTATTGTGTATGTGTGTATGTGATTCAGGGCATGAAGAAGAGGGGTGGCATGCTCAGCTTTAGTCTTTGATTTCTTATCCCTACTTTTCCACCCTTAGACTTCATTCTGTATATATTTTGATGTAACTCGCTTCAAGTTGTTTCTGGAAAAATGTGTTAAAAATTGCCTCCCTTTGGAATAATAAAAAATATTCTTTTAAAAAAAGGAAAGAAAAAGAGGGGTGAATAGAAGATGGGGAAAGAGAAAGAAAGGGAATAGAAGGTAGGGGGAGAGAGAGAAAGGTAGGAATAGAATGGAGGGGGAGAGAGAGAAAGGTAGGGATAGAATGGAGGGAGGGATGTTTGCTCTTGTTTAAAGAGGTGGAAAATGGCTGACAAATATTAGGTCACTTGGAAAATTCCATTTGTAAATCATAGCTGTAAAATGAAAGCAACTTTTTGTAACTAAACAGTGGGAATGACAAGCTGCGTACTTTGTTGAGTTACAAACCATAATCTCCCATAAAAACTGGGATCTGTATGTAATTCTCCACTATTTACGTATGTAATTCTCCACTATTTACATTATTACTGAAATTTTAATATGAGTATGAACATTCAGAACAGATTTAACGACCCACCACACCAGGGAGGTAGCTTGACGTAACGAAAACAGTCAACAGATACATGAACACATTAAGGAAGTAAAAGGAAACAATAGGAAAGGAAAAGTGGAGGAAGGAAGAAGGAGAAGGAAGAGGAGAAGGCAGGGCAGGTGGGACTGGGCACCAAAATCAAATGTTGCAAACCCAACTCTGACTCTTTCTAATCAGCAAACATTTGAACTTTTATGTATTCATTTTGTAGATTAACAGGAAGTTCAATGTACGTGCTGATTTGGTAAATTTTGACAAAGTTACTTAATCTTGTTGAACCTGATTCTTTTCATATAAACATGGGGGACACATTTCAGGGTGATTGTGGGATTTGAAAATTACTTTTATAGTTATGCAAGATGAATCTACTGTACAGAATAGTACACACAGTTAACAATACTGTACTGTATAATTATTTTTTGTGTGGTCTAAGCATATGCATATATATTATATATATGTTCGAGTGTATCTGTAAGTCACAGGTTGACATTGAAAGTCTTCCTTTAGCGTTCCCCACCTTATCTTTTGAGGCAGAGTCTGTCACTGAACCTGGAGATAACTCATTGGCTAGACTGGGTGGCCAGGAAGCCCTAGAGATCTTCCTGGTTCCACTTTGCCAGGGCTGGGATAACAGGTGTGCAGAGCTATGGCCAGCTTTATGTGTGAGTGCTGGGGATTTGAATTCAGATGGTTGCACAATAAACATTGATTGAGCCATTTCTCCAGCCCTATTTAGGCTAGATATGTGTACACACACACACACACACACACACACACACACACACACAGAGAGAGAGAGAGAGAGAGAGAGAATATGCCAGGAGAAGTTTCTAGAGATGATGGATATATTTATGATATACACTGTGGTGAGGGATTCATAGAAACACAGTAAGTTATATAAATTAAATACTTACCGTTTTTTTTTCTATTAATCATAGCTTAGTTAAGTGATCTTAAACTTTTTAATAAAATTCTTGGCAAACAATATGTGCTTAGTAAGTTGTTGCTGGTAATTCTTTTTAAAAAATACTTTATCATTTTTATTTTACATTTATTAGTGTATTGTCTATGTGTGTAAGTGCACCTATGTAGTGCAATGTCCATGGAGGCCAGAAGAGGGCATTGGATCCTCTGGAAGTGGAGTTATGGACAATGTTAGATGCCATGTAGGTGCTGGGAATCAAACTCAGGTCCTCTGCAAGAGCAGTCAGTGTTCTTAACTGCTGAGTCGTCTTTCCAGACCCTGTTCAAGAATTATGAATTCTTGAGCTTAGGTGAATGGTGCTGATGCCGCCCTCAGCACACACTGACACACATTTTACACATTTTCTCACACACTTTTATGCACCAAATTGTATCATAAAATTGCAGGTTAGGAGTGTTGTCACATATTTGGGAGGATTGTATTTTAATAAAGCAAACAATATACCATTTAAAAGGCACACTTTTCAATATTCCATTGCATGCAGACATACCTCCCATGATCTAAAATGAGGCACTAGCACCTTCACCTTCATCTGAGAGAAGTCAATGTACAAGCATCAATACCTATGAACCATGTAAAGTGCATGTGCTCCTGAAGACAGGATACACTTTCCTTTACAATTACAGTGACTTCTGCATGGATGATGCTAGATGTAGAAGGAATGAAGATTAAAGAGAAACACTCACCGATAGGATCTGGTCTCCTCTCTGGAGCTCCCCACTCAGGTCTGCTGGTCCACCAGCCAGAATGAAGGATACAAAAATACCTTCTCCGTCTTCCCCGCCCACAATGTTGAAGCCCAGGCCAGTGGAGCCTTTGTGCAGGACCACCTTGCGGGGCTCCCTGTAGAAACAAATGGAGAACACAGCTCACAGGGTGACCCCCTCTCAGATTCTGTTGTTTTTTACAGAATATGTGAGACAAGCCATTTGCTGCCTGCTACAATGACAATGACTTCTGATGGTAAAACACATTTGCCAGCGAGCAAAGGTCCAGATATCTGAGTTTTCATTCTAACTACCCAAGATGCATACAATGGCATTCCTTGATTTTCAAACATCTTAAACCAGCCTTTCTTCCACTTATCCTTTGTTTTAAATATATGTCATTGTACTGTGTGCTGTAAATTCAGCAAAAAAAAAAAAAAAAGGTAAGAAATGAAGGAAAGCTTTTCAGAGGAAAAAGATCAAATTGAACCTTGCAGGCAATAGGGATGCATTGGAATCCACGAGGCACTAAGAATACCTAAATGAAAAAGAATAGCAAGTGGTCATAAAAATAGTTGATGGACAGAACTGCAGAAGTGATGGGAGGCAGGGAAACCTATTAGATTTCTAAGAAATCTAGGTATGAAGGGAAGTGACTGCTAGAGGGGACAGGAGCACTCGTGAAAATGACGAAAAGAGGAGGGAAGACATCTGAAGAGAAAAGCTGTGGACCTGTGGCTCCTCTGGCACTGGAGAAGTCAAGAGAGTCCCCAAGTAACCGGCAAAAGAGAAGGCATGGGATTCAGGCTTGAGAAGATGAGGATGAGGATGAGGATGGTTTTGACCTTTCCACTTCCAGTCAATGGTAGGGTACTCCTGTAGAAATATTCTGAAGCAGATGGAAACGCATGTGAACTGAAATGCCCAGAAAAAAGCCACACCTGTGTTAAAGGCTGATCCATTTTTCTGTGTATGTGTGTGCATGTGTTCATATGTGTGCAGTGTACAGATGCACATGCATGTGTGTGGAGGTTAGAGGTCAGTCATTCCTCATGTGCTATCCACTTTATTTTTTGAGACTGTATTTCTCATGGATCTAGAAATCTCTGATTAGTCTAGGCTGGCTGGCTAGTGAGCCTCAAAGATTCATTTATCACTGCCTGAGACAATCTCAGTGCTGAGATTACAAGTATGCACCATCACACCTGGTTTTTTATGTCGGTGCTAGAGATTGAACTCAGGGCACATACTTGCTTGGAAAGCATTTTACCAACTGAGTAAGACATTTCTCCATCCCATAATTCAATTTTCATTAACAAGTTTTTAGTTTATTGAGGGGTATGGTGGTACATGCCTTTAATCACTTGGGAGGCAGAGGCATATAGATCTTTGTGAGACTGATATCAGCCTGGTCTATGTAGTGAGTTCCAGGCCAGCTGGGCTATAGGGAGACCCTGTCTCAAAAGATAAAATTAAAACATTTTAGATTATTATTATTATTGTGTGATTTATGGATGTGTGTGGGTGCAGATGCACATATACTCAGTATGTGTGTGTGTGTGTGTGTGTGTGTGTGTGTGTGTGTGTGTCTAGGCCAGAGGACAGCATTCAGGAGTCAGTTCCCTCCTTCTACCATGGGTTCCAGGGATTGACCTCAGGTTGTCAGGTTAGCATAGCAAGTGCTTTTTTTTTTTTTTTTTTTTTAACCTGCCAAACCATCTTGCCAGTTCCTAATTAAATTTACTTTATCAATAATTTTCAAAAATATGTTCTGTCAGCCTTAAGTTTGACCAAAGAGCCTTTCTACCACAGACCCATCTCTCCTAAACATCTGAGTTCCAATTAGGGAAGTTTATTTATTTTTTCTGCTCTCAATGAAATACAAGTAGTAAAACCAATATATTTTTATACTAATGATATGGACAGCTTATTTGCACTTACATTTCCAAGCATAAAGTGACATATCTATGTTGAACCTTATTATGAAAGTATAAAATGCACATTACAACTTCAACTGTAATTTATATGCTATACAGTGGTGTAATGTCAGAGGTAGATTGACATACACTTAATTCACTGTATTCTACAAACACTGGCTAAGCACCAACTGTACCAAGGCCTTTTCTAGAAGGCTTCTCAGAATGTTCAATAACTACATGATTATTCCTGTCCTGGTAGAATTACATTCTGAGGAGAGACCATAAATAAGCAAAAGATCCAATAAGTGAATTTATTGTCTAATATATTAGGAGTTAGAATTATTTGGGGAAAAAAGAGCAAGCAAAGCAATGCAAGGGGTTAGGCCTAGAGTGCATGCACTGAGGGGGTGGGAGTTAGGCCTAGGGTGCATGCACTGAGGGGGTGGGAGTTAGGCCTAGGGTGCATGCACTGAGGGGAGGGGGTTAGGCCTAGGGTGCATGCACTGAGGGGGTGGGAGTTAGGCCTAGGGTACATGCACTGAGGGGGTGGGAGATAGGCCTAGAGTGCATACACTGAGGGGGTGGGAGATAGGCCTAGGGTGCATTCACTGAGGGGTGGGGGTTAGGCTTAGGGTGCATGCACTGAGGATATTTAAGAAGGACTAAAAAGATGAGGACACTGGTCATGTAGGTATCCAAAGGAAGGGTACTGCACCTGGAGGGAGGAGCTACTACAGAGACCCGAGAGTGTGAGGGTTCTGATGTTAGGGAAGATCCAGGATGCCAATGTGGCTAAGCTAAAGTGGCCCCTTCAAAATCCTTGTCAGACAATCCCAGCACCTGCATTAACTCAGCAGTGGAAACTGTTGACTGTCTTCTCATTTGAATCTCCTGGAGTTTGGTGGGGCAATGGTTTTCTATTATTCTTAGACATTTTAGATATCAAGGTGTAGATCCTATATTATCTTATTTTTGGCAGGTAGTCAATCTATTTAAGCACATATGTAGATCCAGGTTGCACAGATACTAAGTGATAGCTCCCTAGAAAAGCATTCCTACTCACGTAACTGTGAAGGTGTAAGAGTTCAGCTCCCAACAAGACAGGGAAGAAGTGACATTTCGTGCCCTCTACCTCATGCCAATGGACGGTGTAAGATGCCCAGGTCCCTTCTGGGCCCTGCTGGCAGTACTGCAGTTGGCAGCACGGTTTCAGAATATATTAACTTCTTTTCTGTTGCTGTGATATAACACCTTAACCAAAAGCAACTTAAGGAGGAAAGGGTTTATTTTAGCTTACAAGTCAAGAGGGATAGAGTCCATAGTAGTGGGGAAGGCACGGCAGTAAAACCAGGAAGCAGAGGGATTACATTTTTATCCACACACAGGAAGCGGAGAGAGGGAGGGGAGGCAGGGAGAGAGAACAGGAAGTATGACAAGGTTTAAACCCTCAAAACCTACTTCCCATGATGTACTTCCTTCAGCAAGGCTCCACCTCTCAGTGGTTCCATAACCTCCCCACACAGCACCACTAGATGGGGACCAAGTGCTCAAATATATGAGCCTACGGGAGACATTTCTCATTCAAACCACAACACAAAAGTACCACAACTTCCCTCTTCCTCCTGCCTCCTTGCCACTGGGCAGGGCTAGAAGTCCAGTTTTCATTCTGCCTATTGACATCAGCTCAGTGGAGGGCCAGCTTTTAACTGTCTCTCTCCTGGCTGTCTAGTAGAGAAGGGGTATAGAGAAGTCTCATCTGGGCACCCCTACTGCCAGTGCAGGGATGAGGAGGCAGTGTTTCTTCCGGTGTTCAGTAGGGTTAGCACATCATTAACAAGTTCCCTGTTTTCTTGTTAACCATCTTTTTTTCCCAGACCTTTGTCTGGAGCAAAGGGGCTGGACTCAGAACGCTTTGCTTGCTTGTTTGTGCTTGTTGGCAACTGGAGGATTTGGGATTCTCCAGTCTTAACCAACAAGAAAAAAGTAAAAATCCTGGAAACGCATTGTTGCGTCTTCTCTGGGCAGTCTGCTTATTCGTCAGCCTTCTTTCCAACTTTAAAAGAAGATTTCCTGTTTGTTGGTTTTATTATGTTCAAGGCTGTAAACAATTGTTAAGTAAAAGGGAAGATTAGAGAGTACTGAAGAGATTCTTTTTTGGCTTGAGCAGAAGTCCAAGTCTGGATATATATTGAAGTTAATGGTTAACAGAACTTTGATGAGAAAGCTGTTGCAGAAATCTCCCCCTTGCTCCAGGATAAGCACACAGACCCATGGCAGATCTGACAATGTTCAAGTACTCATAGCATACACAGATGGAGGAGAGGGGACCACCATGATTCCTATATTTGCCTGTGTACTAAACATTATACTTGATGATTTATTTTTTTCCTATTTCACTTATCCCTACCCAATGCAGGGGTTTTCTCATATTTGCAACCATTTTGAAACAGATCTAACAAAAAATATGAACTAAAGTTGGACTACATAGATATTTTTATTCATTTTTAATGTATATTTATACTTTATTTTAATATATATTTTTATTTTAATAGATCTTAATCAGGTTTAGACCCCCCCCTTCTTCATCTATGCCCCCTCATCTACATTTCATTTATACTTTCATGCATGTTAAGTCTATTTGGTCAGGGATTTGTACCCAGATGTCCCTTGGTGCAAGTTCATCCACTAAAGTCTATTCAGTCTATCTAGAATCACTACCTTAAAGAAGATCTACTCTCCCTAACCCAGCAGGACTCAGTTGCCAATAGCTATTTGGCTAGGGTTGGGGTCTGCTGCCCGTTTCCCCAGTTATGTGCTGTTTTTTGTCTGATTGAGTCAGCATAAGTCTGACTGGGTGCATGCTGTCCCCATTGTTGCAAGTTCATATGAGTAAGTTCCCAGAGGCTTGAAAGTCTCTGTTTGTTTATGCTCACACACCAACCCTGGCTCTTACAATCTTCTTGCCCCCTCTTCTGCAATGGGCCCCGAGCCATAGGTGGGTGAGATTTAATACAGGAGTTGTATCCAGGGACACCCACTCTGCAGCCTCTTATTCTCTAAAACATAATTGCTGTCAGATGTACCATGCTGAAAAGTTCCTGAAAAGTTAGGAGGAAAGGAAACATTACTCATATATTTCTATAAAAAAATAGAGGAATTAGAGTTTATGACTAGAGTTTATGAAGGTTTTTAACCTTCATAAAAATGGGGGGAAGAA